CAAGCGTTAAAACATGTAATATTGTATAGAAAATAATGTAAACCAACCAAAGTCAAGCAATTTCGACGTTTTAAGGAATTTGTCGTTAAATCGAGTGACGTTATAAAGAGTTTACACTGTATTAAGATTTATATAGAAAGAGAGTACAAATAAGATGACTCAACCATTTAAAATATTCGATTTAGTTTTTCAGACATAACAATTAGTAATTCATTTTTATGATAGAGAATGTAGGTTGATTACCTCTGTTTTTTTTACTAATAGAATACCAAGTTCGTAATTCAAGAAAGCTGAAATATGCGCGTCATCCGCAGTGTTAGGAAAATCCTTTCTTTCATTCAGTCCTTCTCGAAATTTTCCTACTGCTTCTTCCTCATTACATTTAATTGTGTAGCAAAATCCAGACACAAGTTTATCAAGACCAACCATGGACTTATTAACTGGATCATCGTCAAGCAGCTCACAATCTAAATAAATAAAGGAAAATAATTTTTTTCTTACTTCACTAGTGATGTAAGTAAATGAAGAAAAAGAAAAGGTTAGAAGCGTTCGAAATGTGGTGTTATAGGCGAATGATGAGGATACCGTGGATAGAGAAAGTTAGAAATGAAGAGGTATTGGAATGAATAGGAGAACAGAGGAAGTCGAAAAGAAATAGGCGAGATAGGTTAGTGGGCAGCTTCTCAGGCATGAAGGTCTAGTCAGAGACATATTAAAGGCAGAAACAGAAGTTAGGATGGGTAGAGGTAGACCTAGGTTAGATTACTGTTCGCAAATAGTTAAGGATGTCGGTTGTTCGAGTTTTAGGGAAATGCGAAGCTTAGCTCAGGATAGGAAAGAGTGGAGGTACGTGTTCAACCAGTCTTATGATGATGATGATTAAATGGGAGTTACATAGCCTTTATTATACAGGGTGTAAGTACCTAAAACCAATGTCAAACCTAATTCCGATCTTTTTAAATTTATTACGTTCACCATGACATCTTCAATTCTGAATTTGGTTACTGTACTGGATAATGAATAATTCTATTTTTATTCATCACACGAAATATGATGTATTCTTTTTCTTATATAATTGTAAATAACAATTCTGGATTTTTTTTGACGCGATTTATATACAAATGATGCATTTTCTTGTACCTATCCAAATTATGAATTAACAGGAGAAGAAATTTGAAACCCATGAAATCGATCGAAAAGACTCCAAATGGAAATCAAGGAACTTAATTTCTATAAAAGCCTATTTGTGTGGCGACGAAGAGAAATTGTTTGTGTCAGTACATATTATAAATTATGAGTAGTGTACGGAAGCTCTAGCCGCTTTTTTTTGTTGTAATTTGCAAAATTGTTTTTGCTATTTCCAATGGAACTGGATAATTTTTAGAATTGTTTGGGTCAACAAATACTAAAAAATTAATAGTAAATAGAGCATTCGTGCACCGTTACGAAGAGTGTGAACATTAAGTCATGATAGAAAATAATCCTTGTTCAGGGTTAACATTTATAACCTACCCTTAATAATTTGTTCCAAAACTTCGGCAGTACAATTAGGTAAACTATTCCATAAATACAAAAGTTCGTAAACCAAGGACTTCCAATATACAGAGGTTTTGTAACCAATGTCAGTTAGCCTCTTGGGCATTTTCTTGAACCTACGAATTAGTAGCGTTTCCATCTGGTTTTCGCTGGGTGGATTTTCAAAAATTGAACGGAAATGTAACAGATCCGATTCTGTAATAGTGGTTCCGCTTGCTCCATTATTGATTGTTTCGAGATAAAGGTAAAATAACATCGCCCAACGACTTTTTAAGTGTAAAAAATGAAAAATGCTCTGGGCCTCGGCAAATTCCAGACCAGTCATGTGAGTCCATGCTAGTTCGTGAAACGCCAACATACGAATCTCTTCTTGGGCAGCGTTTTGAGTGCAACGACAAAACGTTTGTACAGCCGCCTGCGTTTCTGACTGTGTAAATAAAAGAATAGGATTAAATGCACCCTAATATAGACTAAAACATTTTAAAAACAAATTAATAAGCAGAAAGAAATTAAAAACTTTTGAAAGACAGAATGCTCTTTGAGAAAATAGCCTTCCACTTTAAAATAAACATGATTCCCTTGGAAATATAATTTTTTTTTTCACTTTGGAATGTACCTTTATGAGTCATGTTTTTTATTTTTTTTAATAATTGATTCGGTTCTAATTATTAAAAAATGACTTAATTTAAAAGCTGTTATTCTAAATATTCTGACAGTACCTTTAATATCTGAATTTTCCCTTTGTAATAAAGAAAAACTGCAGACTCTCCAAATTCGTTCTCCGATTCTGCTATTAGCTGTGATGCGGTTTGTGTACCAGTTTTCGAATCGTCCACGTTCAGAGCAAAATAAGGCTTAACAATTGTAAAATACCACAATAGGGCCAACCTTAAAAAAAAAATTGGAATTAGGTAATTGACGATTTAAATAGGATTATTTGAAAAATATTAGGGATCATGAATCATGGATCATGGTTACGACAGCCACCATCTTGTCAGTTAGGCACTTTTTTAATCATTATATATATGTAATGACAAGCGTTAAAACATTCTTTAAAGAAAAAATACGAAGTCTGTTTAAATGTAATGACCCAATATATATTACAATTTTTAAATATTATTTAATGAAAGAATACGAAGCCTGTTCAAAAAGTGTCGCTTTGTCCGCTTCAAGGTAATCCCCACCAGATATTATACACTTGTGCCAACGTTTCATCCAATCCTGAAGCACTTCAAAAAATCGTTTCGGGAACAAGACAAAGTTACAGGGAGGCAGATCTGGGGAATACGGTGGCTGCGGCATTACTAGTGTGTTGTTTTTAGCCAAAACTTCGTGCTCAAGCAACAATGTGTGAGCAAGGGCGTTATCATGGTGCAAAAGCCAACTTTGTTCATCCACAAATCCGGGCGTTTCTGGCGGATTGCTTCACCCAAATTGTGCATAACTTGCAGGTAATATTCCTTATTGACCGTTTTACCCTGTGACAAGAACTCATGGTGCACCACGCCCCTGCAATTGAAGAAAACTGTAAGCAAAACCTTCACATTCGAGCTAACTTGGCGCGCTTTTTCCGGTCTTGGCTCGTGCGGCAGTTTGTATTGGAATATTGAAATAATTGAGCTTTGATTTCCACGTCATTACCATAAACCCACGATTAGTCACCAGTTACGACCCTTTGAAACAAATTTGGGACGTCGCGGAGTCCAACAGCTCCTTAGCAATGTTAATGCGATGCTATTTTTGGTCGAAATTGAGCAATTTTGGTACGAATTTCGCGGCGACCCGTCTGATGCCCAAATCAATGGCAGGAATCAATCGATATGTTTAGATCCTCAACAACTTCTCTAATTCGACGATTGGCCAACACTATTTTCTTTACTTCATCAATATTTTCGTCTGTTGTTGACGTGATCGGGCGTCCAGCACTCTTTTCGTCGTTCACATCTTCTCGACCCTCTGTACCATCGATAAACGTTGCTTCGGTTGCTGCCATAGTGCGCACTTAATTTTGTTTTTTTTACACAAAGTTTTTTACAGATTCTTTGATCCATTTTTTGGAATAGGCAAAAATCGAAAAAGAGCCAAACCAACATAAAGCCACAAAAATATGCGTCACCCACGGAAATTCAAAATTCTCGATATTTTTTGAACAGACCTCGTATATACGCCTGTCCTCAAAGTCATTATTTTCCTACTATAGTCGACCAGCTTGTAATCAGATCAAAAAATTATTTGTCTTTTTTCTGTTCAAAATATTTCTGTTTATTATCTTATAAGAACTAAGAGTATTAAAATGCCTATTAATATTTAAATATCTCTCAAAACCATAAAATATATAATTTTTTAGATACACATTGAAAAATTTCCGAATATGAATATTGTAAGCTGTAAATTGGATAGTACCCAAACTTTTTATAAGAATGATGTAGTCAAAACTGAAATTTAAAAGGTAGAAATATTTTTTTATATATACACATTTTGTATTTTCAAAATTCTTGAGCGCTCTTCAAAACAACTCGAGTAGTTCATATTATTATTGAAGAAGCTTAGTAATACATCAAGAAAAAACGAATTGGAAAAAATATTCTGGAAAAATAAGTCATCCTAATGAGTTATGATAATATTGACCAATACAGTATCAATTATTGTCACATACAGTAGACACTTTGATAGTGTAAACATCGCATAACTGAAACCCCACAAGTCTATAAATTTGAGCAATACATTTGCATGTCCTTATTTTTGAAAAGTACCTATTGAGTTTTTTCTGTAATATAAATTGGATGCAAAAGGGATAACTTTTTAAGAATCCAACTAAATTAGAGAAAGGTTAATGAAACTACAGACACTATTGCATCCCTTCCGGTAGAGTAATTATCATTTTCCTATTATTTTACAGGTTCAAATTGTGAAAATACAAACCATCATCATCGGACAATTAGAAAAACTACAAGGAGCAACCAAAATCAAAACGAATCGTCACAAATACCATGTAAGTGATTTTATTGATTCACTCGTATTACAGCTGTACTTTTTCATAGTAATTTAATTACTAAAGGAGATGGGAATAAGGCGCTATTCTATTCTTTAATTAAAGGATTTAACATCACATAAGTCAATAAACGTAGGAGCATTTAAAAATTAGAAACATATTCGTTGAGTGTTGCTGTTAGGACTGAACGTCAATGGTATTTGATCATTTACTAGTGTTGGGGTTTTGTGTCTTCTTAGGAAAAAAGGAAACTTTTATATTATTATCTGGAAAACTAATTCACATTAAAACATAAATTGTAATATTCGAAATTTGGAACGTATAGATACAAAAGGTCTTGTCAGAGACATATTAGAGGCAGAAGTAGGAGTTAAGAGGGAGTAGAGGTTGACCTTAATTAGAATACTGTTCGCAAATAGTAAGGGTTGTTCTAGTGGGGTAATACGAAGATTAACTCAGGATAGGAAGGAGTGGAGGTGCTTGTCCAACCACAGTCTTAAGACTGACGACCTTCTGATGATGATGATAATAATTAAATGGGAGTTTCATACAGGGTGTAAGTGCCTAAAACCAATGTCAAATCTGATTCCGTTGATGGGCTTATCACCTACCAGAATATTTATGATTTTCAAGTTACNTTCTCTTCTGATTCGATCCCTACTTTAGTTAAAATACTTCTAGCTCCACCCTTTTAATCTTCGTTAAAATTTATTTTCAAGACTACTAACACTTCCGATCTATTATTCAACTGTTCTACTTCATCCTTCAGCGATCGTTAATTAAATTTGTTAAGTTTTAATTGTGTTTTATTCAGTAATTTTACTTTTGCAAAGTGTGTTTAATTCCACCAAAAAACCTAAAGATACAAAAGGTCTTGTCAGAGACATATTAGAGGCAGAAGTAGGGGTTAAGAGGAAGTAGAGGTTGACCTTAATTAGATTACTGTTCGCAAATAGTAAGGGTTGTTCTAGTGGGGAAATACGAAGATTAACTCAGGATAGGAAGGAGTGGAGGTGCGTGTCCAACCACAGTCTTAAGACTGACGACCTTCTGATGATGATGATAATAATTAAATGGGAGTTTCATACAGTGTGTAAGTGCCTAAAACCAATGTCAAATCTGATTCCGTTGATGGGCTTATCACCTACCAGAATATTTATGATTTTCAAGTTACTAACAGTGTATCGCCATCTACTGATAATTCATGTTTACTATAATAGGTATTTCATATGTTTGACAAGGGTGTCTATTGCCAAAAGAGTACGACCCAGTTTTAGAAATGATTTTTTATCATTTATTTATAGCCGTGCCGTGGAAAACAGTGACCATAGGTAATGATTTGCCAGACATCATTTTTACTTATACGTCAAAATAAAAAATATTCTGGTTGGTAATGGACCAACTCCTTCTGCAACGTGGTGGTCGACTTTAATTTTTTAGACATCCTGTAATATATGGTAGGGCAGTGCAATTCAAAAAAGGTAAACACTGTGAAAAGGGTAACGTACTTACGTAGCCAACGGCGACCTCATGTCCTCACCCAAACGCGAAAACATAAGGATTTCCAAACCCTTTTTCCTGTCGCCGGTAATTCCAAAAATACTAGTAACTCTCTGAACTGAGGGTGGTAACAATGATGTGGCCAAATGAAAAAAACCATATCCAAAAGACACCGCACACAATAAACGATATATCGTTTTAAGTTCGACCACTTCGTTATGACTATTGGAAAAAAATAGAGTACCAATAATTCTAGTCCGAATACTTATATAAAATTATAGTTAAAAAGTAGCTTTTTACCAATTTCTACCTAATAACTCAAGAATCAGCATTTGATGAAGTCACAAATTGGCGAAACAATTGTTATGTATTTTGCAGGGTTCATAGACTAGTTGTCTACTGAGCAATTTCAAAGTAAAAATGAAATCTGTTGACTTCAAACAACACTAACTTTTCAACTCATACTGGAATTAATTTTTGAAGTGAAACTTCTTTACGCACGGTAGGGTAAGTTCGTTTCATGCGAGTCGCTATGTAACGAAATCATGCAACGCATTTCCCCCGCTGTCTGTCCCTATGTATGCTTAGATCTTTAAAACTACGCAACGGATTTTAATGCGGTTTTTTTTAATAGATAGAGTAATTCAAGAGGAAGGTTTATATGTATAATACATGCATAATATAGTAGAGAAACACTGATAATTTTAGAGGTTTGTAATGTGATGTCGTAAATAAACACATTTTTTTGCGCTTACATTGCAAACGCTGGCTGAACCCTACGAGATAGATCAAAATAATATACTACAGTATTGTACACCTTAAAAAGGTCTACAAAAAAGTCCGGGATGGTATATGTCTATCTCTTAGGGATAACCCACAATAACCATTTTTTATCCTTTACTTTTTACGAGAAATAATGGCTTATTTACGAAGCGATTTTAAGCAATACAGCATTAATCCTTATCCAATTAAGTACTTTTAAATACATTGTGCATTTAATATAGATCAATATGGCCCTTTACAGCATGTAATTTGAATGAATATTTTCGAAGATATTACAGATTTAAAATGCAGGGACATAGCGGTTGCGGCGGTACCGGCCGGTTTGTACTGTCTTATGACAAAAAAGCTGTGATTGTTGTACATAAAGACATTTTATAGTATATTTACTATCAGCATTGCACCCGTGCGAAGCATAGTGTACAAATAATACCATTAAACCAATTCCTTAACCCCTATCCCGGTATGTTTGTGTGTTTGAAGAAGTTTCACTTCAGTAGCGTGTTGTATAATTACACGTTGTATTTTTTAAATCTAGTCTAGTATCGTGTGTGATCTGTCTTAAAAAGAAAATAGGAAAAAATGGAATATTTTTCACTTACTTATCACTGGAAGATTCCATTCCAAATGCAGAAGTAATGTAGGACAAATTGGATGCAAATATAGACAAGGGTGAAAACAGTTTACTAGAAAAGAATCCCGATTGCGATTGCGATATATTTCCGTTAATTGTAACCGATCGTTTCATGAACTTTTTATGCGATTTTGATTTTTTCAAGCCGTTAATTTTACTTTTTAAAAACGATCGCTTTTTATCATTAGATTTTTCAGTTTCGTCTAGGGTATCGCCATCTAAATTTTTATCACTAGAATTACTATCAAAACTAACGCTTTCAATACTACTACAAACGTTATCTATATCGGTATTTTCGGTGTAAGGACACTTATTGTTTGTCACATTCGGGACGTTATAATTTCGAGAAGCGAAAGTGTCTGATAAGGAATGCGACATTTTTTCATTTATTAAGGGTATTAAAGGAGGAGGGGTTGGACAGTACCCGGATGGAAAAGGGGGCAGTTGGGAAGGCAATGTCACTTCATCTCTAGTGCATATTATTGAAGACAGCGTCCTTCTTATCGACTCCACTGATGATATTTTGATGTCCTTTTTAACGTCCGCTTGAGATCCTAGAATCAACAAATAAAATTGTGTGTGTACTTATACGTTATGTATGTATACGAGTTTCCAAAAATAATTTCTTTTAGTGCCCCTATACACCCCCCTCCCCGGAACACTTTTTTCCAAATTTCAAGTTTTTATCTTCAGTGGTTTAGGCTCTGCATTGTCAGTCAATCAGCTACGGTATTGTTTTACGTATCTACTTATATAAGATTAGTATGACCCGTCCAAATTTGGATTATAATCGATGGTGCATAGCACTTATACTTTAACCATGGCACCCCTCCATACCGTAACCTAATAATTCTGTCGGAGGGACTACAGGTACATCGTACCTATTGCCGGATATTAATATTTAAACACGTAAAGAGACTACCGAGCTGCATGGCTTAGAGGTTTAGACCATTGCTTCGCATTTAGGAGGACGCCGGTTCGATTCCGGGTCCGTCTGCCTTGGTCCAAGTTTTTCTGTGGTTTCTTTGAATCACCTAACAGCAATGTTCCACACATAATATTTCATTCTCTTCTGTCTTAATTTCGTCCGTCTCATCTTTCTCACCCGAACCACCACCCACCCATTCCCACGATTCCTGAAAGGAGGCTGAAGGAGGTCTTCAGCCCTACCTTCCGGAGTAGTCCGGAGGGACTGACTGTCCACCAACTTTACTTGCTGATGGGGATGAAACACCCAAATGTTTTTTTTTTTTTTTAGTAAAGAGGCTGATGATTTTTAATTATAAATTTAGACCTGGTCATTAAACAACTTCCTGAATACCTTAAGGCGAAGTTCCGTCCATTAATTAAACGTTTCAACATCACATGAATCAATAAATGTAGGAGTATTTAAAAATTAAAAGCATATTCGTTGAGTGTTGCTGTTAGAACGGAACGTCAATGATATTTGATCATGTACTAGTCTAGGAGTTCTGTGCTATCTTGGGAAAAAGGGAACATTTATAAAATTACCTCGAAAATTTTTTTTAGTTAAAATATAAATTGTAGCGTAATAATCAAAAATATTAATCTATATTACTATCCAAAAATAAGAAATGGGCGAGATGGGTTGATAGGACTCCTCAGGCATGAAGGGTAGGTAGAGTCATATTAGAAGAAGAAGCAGGAGTTAAGAGGAGTAGAGATAGACCTAAATTAGATTACTATTCACAAATAGTTAAGGATGTGGGATGTTCTAGTTTTAGGGAAATGCGAAGATTAGGTCAGGATAGGAAAGTGTGTAGTAGTATATTAATTATCGTAAATAAATTTCTCTTTATTTAAAGTTTGATTTATCACAATAGTCTTCCTATATTTTTTTATTGTAACAGAAAATAGTGACATTACTAATTACATACCCAGTAAATCGGCAACGGCCTTCTTATAAAGCTTCGCAATATTTTCATAAGTGCTACTATAGGTTTTCCAAGATCTCCTCATCAGCCATCCTCCCTTAAAGAGTCCTGTAAAGTCCTGTTGTAAGAACATCAACGAAGCCACACACGCTAAACAATCGGCGAGAATGATTTGACTTTCGAGTATTTTTGCAAAGGTGGGAAAATCACTGCCTCCCAGGTGACTCCCGGTAGTCGTTTTCTTGGCATTTTCATTTGTATTCAAAGCATTGCATCTACGCTCTGTCTCCCTCAATGTTTCGAACGCAACAGTGACTTTTTGTTCCTCAAACGTTGTTACTGCATCCTAGAAATCAATGCAAACTTCAGCTTAAAAGCTCTATCTAAGTCAACTACTGGAAATGTCAAAAATTTCATGGTCATGAACAAATGTTGTCCTTTAATTATAACTTAAAATGTGGAAAAGGAAATACTGGTAGGTAGGTTTCACAAAATTGACATTTATTTTAACTAATTCGTTTTGGTTTTCACACCATTTTGAAAGGAGTATAAATTAATGCTAAATTCATCGGTCTGCAATTGATGTATAAATACTAAACTTAGTTGTTTATAGGGTGGATTTTAAAATACATCACTATCAACCATAACTTAGATCTAAAGAAATTCAAATTGTTACATAAGGTAAGAAGATGAACAACTTAGAAATCCTAGAAATATCAAGAGCGATAAATGAGAATTGAATTAAAATTCACTCTACAGGCAAGTAATTTTAGTATTTAAGCATTAAATGAATAAATGACAATTTTGTAAAACCTAACAAGTGTTTTCTTTTTCACATTTTCAGTTATATTCGAAATACATATCACCAATAACCGCATACTTTTTAATTTTTGTGTAATCACATTAAGAAAAAATTTCTTCGATTTTTACAGTTCTTTTTGGATTTTCTGAAACAATAACTAACCCTAACTAAAATTTAAAATAAAAGGGAAATATTTGTAAAAAAAAATTACCGCATTAATAAAGAGATTTTACTTTTTTGTATAAGTACCTTTTTTATTTGTTTCTGAAAATTTCAAAACTATCAAAATGTAGCAAAATGCGTTCTTACAATTTCCCTATTTTCAAAAATTCTAATTTCAGAAAATTGTTTGAAACTTTTTCTGCCGCTTTTATTAAAAACTTCCCTTAACTGTTACTATTTTGGAAAAGGACGAGTCAATTTTTCGCGAAATAGGATTTTCTAGTATCTAGACGTTCTCCTCAGAAAACCCCCATAAAAATGTTGTATCGTAATAACGTACCAAGAATGTCATAAAAGCATGTCCAGAAAATATAATGAGATTATTAGTGGGATTGCTCAAAAACACTTTTCTCGCTTCGTTGATTTTATTGTTAAGAAGCAAATTCATCCCTTTTCTAACAACTTCCCAATCTGACAAGCCTTCAATCGATGACGATAATTGTGCATGGCTATTCTTCGAATTTAAATTATTCCCATCAAGGACAAGCGCTTTAGAAGTGCACGGATCATTAAAATTGTCCATATTATAAACACATTTTCACTATTTTGTTGCCGCTTTCACTTTTTCCAAATCACGCCGCATATTTAATTATTGTCTGTCTATTTTTTGCTATTTTTTTATTCGTGAGTCCAAGTTTTTAAAGTTTGGTCAAAATTACTGTCTAACATTGAGTGATTTTAGGTAATAAAAATAAGTGCTACTTTACGTGATAATGTATAATTAAACGATGAATCACTTAAAATTTTGAGCAATTTGTCGATGGTCCAACTGAAAGTGAAAAGCAGAGAAAACTGTACTTGACACCACCTGTCAAGAAACAAGGGTAATGTCAATATTGATTTTAACCCTCTGCTGCAATAAAGTTACGCGTTTTTACTAACTTGTTAGTGATAGGGAAAGCGAGGAATAATTGTGCGCAGAATTCCCGGTTGACCAATCCTCGACTTTTTCTTTCAATATTTAGTATTTACTCTTCAATTTTTGTAATAAGTACTAACACAAAAAAGCATGTAATTATACAATAATTTAAGTGCTGAACTATATACAACTTTTATCAATCATTCGTCATAGCCATAATTCTCCCACCCCCACCCCTTACCATGAATCTCAATGGCATCAGCTACCCTCCCACTGCAGATAATAACTGCCATTTGGAAGGTAGACATGTGCAATGTAAATTTATACATTGAATTCAAGATAATCCTGACCTGTACAGTAGTCCTTAAAATTTTGCTTATTTTGATCTGTCTTTTTCTAAGCACTCTGGCACTTGGTCTTTTTTTACTTATAATTAATAACACTTTTGGTACACGAATCAGGTAGACGATACTCATAGTAAAAATAAAACAAAACAAAAAAATATTACACAATTCATTAACACTGTCTCTTCATGAAATGAATAATGGTAAGTAGCTACTAATAGATTATTATAGACAAATATTATTCTAACAGTGAAGGGGAGGAAAAAGTGCAGAATCTTTACCCTTTTCTATACTGTGCCATATTCGCCACATGAAGCTACAATTTTAGCGAAACTGTGATTGTGTAAAAAAATTGTGAATATAATGTCTTACTTTATTTTAACTGTGTATCTTTTCACCAAGTAAAAGTCAATTAAATTTCATCTTTGTTACTTACCATCATATATAAAATATCGTCTCTTACCTGAAAATAATTTGAGGTCTTTTTAGCACTGCAATTTTTAAGAGCACACCATTTAGAAATAATTTTCGTTTACAATGTCTAAATAATGTTGGGATCATTTATATAAAAAAAAAATACCGAATATACATACATTTAACAATAATTTATTTTATTCCTAATGGTAATACCGATCTGTACAAATTTTATTATATGTATAAAATTACATTAAACGAATTCAAGTCCTTCGTATTTTACGTTCGAAATGTACGTGTCATCCAAATAAACGGTACCAGTAATGGTAAACACTGTAATATACGTTGACGTCGACCCGTTTAGCTCTTCTGTTCGAAGAGCAACTATGACCGAGTCATCGGTGTCAGGGATAAATTTGAAGGACGAAAATCCTCTTGTTTTACTCTTAGTAGGTATCTAAAATAATAAATACACATATATTATTGGTAGTTTAAAGTTCAATGGAAACATTAAAAAGTTAAAGAGAGTTTATGAATAGAAAGTTTGAGAGGACCATATTTTAGATGTTAATTTTAATTAATTCAGTACACACTCGATAGTGTGAACAGAAAAAAAACAAAAATTTTTTACATAGACAAGTTCTTCCCCTCTATCAGTCACTGTGAGCTCGAAACTGTTAACACCGTTGCTTCGAGTGATCGAAATTCACTTTTGTAAAAAATTTTTGTTTAATCACATTCTTTGTGTTAAAAATTGTTTTTAAAAAATTAAATTTAAAGGAATTGTTTGTAAATAGGTATGCAACACATCGTACAACATAAGCAGTTGCTAATATTAACTACGTAATACTACTTTGCCCTCACAGCACTCATAATTGCTTTTACATATAACATTTGATCGCATTAACGAATATTATATTAATAGGTAATAAACATCCATAATTAACAAAATAAACATACATGCAAATATAAAGCAATAATGAAATATTTTTTTGCCAAAAAAAACAGTTTTGTGTATTTCTGTACAGGTTTTCATTTTTATATAATTAAAAATGTAAAATATGCAACCCAAAACGCACCTGTGTAGCTTCAGTACGATAAAAATTCGAATCGGCAGAGATTAGCCAAGAGCAACCCCTGTACTCATCCAACGTTTCGTTATAGGGATCTTTACTACATCTTCGAGGCAAAAAGAACCATTTTTCATGAATTTCAGACCAAACACCGCTTTCGTGTATCATATAACCCGGCCAGTGGATGCCAAGAATTTCTCGCAGTCGTTCGTAGTTATCAACCCATTTTAAACTTTGTACCTTAAAAAGTAAATGAAATAAGTACCAAATTTTAAACTGACTTAGAACACTAACAACAGCATTAAATATAAATTAAGTAAAATGTAACTCAAATACATTTCTACTTTTAAATGAATACAAATCTTTTTAAAAATAAAATACAAGAATATTTCATAAAAATACAAAATCTTTAAAAGTAATTAAAAAAATGTTTAAATAGGTCAATGTTTTTTTAATAATTAAAAATTAACTAATAACTACAGGCAATCAGCAACGAAATATGTAACGTCGTATTAATTACATTTTAAATTTGCCTCGTATTCGGTTACTTATTAACTAATTTTTCCGCACACAAACTTTTTATAATTTCAAATACTTTTAATTTAGAAATCTCATTAACAACTTCCGCAAGTTGCAATATTTTACAAATATAATTCGTTCCAGATCTAGACTTTTCACCGCTATTGCATTATATAATGTTTAGTTGTTACTGATTAGGTAACATTTTCATTTAACGAAATTATTTATAAATCCACAACGGTAAAAAAACATAAACAAAACGTTCAACAAATCACACCATCAGCTTCTACTGTTTTGTCATTAAGTAAAGTTATTTATTTTTAAACAAAAACAGCGAATTATATAATACAAAATACTGATTAGTAAACATTTACCTTAAAACAAATCACAAGACATTGTTCCATAAATAATAAAAATTAATGATTGAACGTAAAAACAGTTATTGCAATGTAGTTCCTTTTTTTTCAAATATAGATTTTATACTTACCAGACCATTAACTGCAATAACTTTGACATATTGAGGATCATTACTTTCAAATTCTCCACTGGGTGTTGTCCATTCTTTCCCCATTGATCCTACATAAAGCAGTTCATTCCTTACAGTTGCCCACTCAGACTTAAAACCTTTTGACTTTCTGTAAATCAAAAAAACAATGCGGCATTTAATATATTAAAATACAATTAATGTTATCAAATTCAAATTTGTTCTAATTGCAATTTACCTAGTTATATTCAATGCCACTTACTTTCCATCTCCATCTAACAAAATCACCCATGGAATTGCATTATTTCCAACAATTTCAAATACCATTCCGGTTCTATCGTCAAATGTAAGTAAACGACCATCAAAAACTGCAAGTTCAGATAATTCCATACCTCTGCCTTTTAATGCGTAACTTGTTGTTAATTTAATAGGATCTCCTGCATCCCAACTAACAACAATTTTATTGGTCAAATGGTCAAAACTTAGGTATCCTTTCTTGTAGTATGAAACCCACATATTTTTCTGATTATTTCTTGAATTAGTGTCCAAGTCAGCAATTATACCTTAAACATTAAAACACATAAAAATAACATTGATAAATTACAAAAAAAAAAACAAATACCTATTCTGTAGATGTACATATTGCCAGATTTTAATACAGGTGTTAGAGGGTAAGTGTGGTTGTATAAATATCTCATTATCCCACAATTGGCGGAATTAGGTTGTTTTGGTAGGCTGTATAAAACTATCAACAAAAGAACACCAGTAACAGCCACAAAACCGACAAAATGTGTTTGTCCACGTAAAGTCCTATTTACTATTCGATATGTTGGTTGTGATTTTAAAGCTTTCCTCCAATCTTTCGTTCCCATTTCAACTTCTTCGGGAGTCATTGATAGCAGCCTTTCAATCCAGGAACAATGAAATTGATGAGATAACATACTTTATCGTACTCGATCATGATTTATAAGAAGTACATAACCCCCAGTTTTGACGTGTAGTGTATAGTTTAAATAATTGTCATCCAAACAGCTGATTTTGATCGATTAATGACAGATGTGACATGTACTGCTCCTAAAAAATGATTCCAACTTGGTTTCTCTTCTTTACCTTGTGTGACGTCAAAAGTGAACATGAACGTATCATCAGGGTTTATTCTTTACGAACCATGACAATAATATGCTCGTAAAGTAACAATATAAAGTTCTTCACATACGCAATAATACATAACCATCATTGCAATGTCTATTTTTATTTTATAAACTAATTTGAAGTATGCTGAATCTGTTTTTTAATATTTAATTTTGTTTTCCATGTGGTATGCCAGACATACGCCAATGCTTTTATCCCGCAATTGACGTCATTTTAATAACACACCATAGAATTTTTAGACTTCATGATTTTACATGTGATAAATACTATACGGCGTGCTAATATTTCCTCATGTTGTTCTCATTGATTTTTTGTTGAGTTTGAAATTGAAAAAATATTTTTGAAATAGATAGCAATCAATAAATATTTCTGACTACTAATGACGAGAATATTTAATAAACCTACCGATTAATTGTAAGGCTTACATAATATAGCTGATTATTTAATTCGGCATTTATTTGTCGAAAATTAATTATTTTTTATAGAATGTGGGCATATTTGCTTTTGGTATTAATTAAGTAAAATTTATGAAATGCAACCTAATCTTCATCAATCTAAATATTTTATGTTTTTACATGTGATTTTGATGGGAGATGACCCCAACTGCGTTTTTATTAATTACTATATCTGACGTCAGAAATCGGCATGAACGTATCAAATGGGGTTTGTTTTTTCGTAACTATTGCGATAATGCAGTGTTGTAAGTGACAATACAATTTCTTCACATACGCAACAATACTTAAACAATATTGCAATATCTGTTTCTACTTTACGAACCAATTTGGAGCACGCTAAATCTGTTTTTTAATATTTGATTTGGTTTACCAAGTGATATGGTATGGATACGCCTATGCTTTTTTCCCTCAATTAACGTGTGATTGTAACTTCTCTACGAAGTTTTATGCTTCTTTGTTTTGCATATGATACAAAGCACATGACGTGCCGATATTTTTCTATATTCCTTAAAGTGCATATAAGATATAGATGATTATTAAATTCGGATTTTATTTGTCAAAAATTTATTATTTGTTATAGTATAGGGCATACTTGCTTTAATAAATATATCCAAAATTATGAGATGTTAATCTAATGAAAAAGATGTACAACCAATACACCATCTATAATTCATCTTTTAAGTCTGTTAGATTTTTACCTAAACATGTTATTTTGATCGTATAAAAAATTACTCCAAATTGGTTCTGTATTTTACCGTAACTGACGTCAAATATAGACATGAACGTATCATAAGGGTCTGTTCTTTGCGAACCATGACAATAATATAGCTCTTAAACTGACAATAAGATTTTTGCACACTAGCAACAATACCTAAGCAACGTTGTAAGGACTATTTGTGTTTTATAAACTCACTTTACATACGCCAAATGTATTTTTTAATATTTAATTTTGTTTTCCATGGGATATGTTTGATGTACGCCTATGGTTTTATCCCATAATTGACGTAATAATTGTAACATACTTTAGGAAGTTTTATACTTCACTATTTTGCTTGTTTTAAAATACCACATGGCGTGCCAATATTTTACTTATCTTTTAATTGCTTTTTTTCGTTCAGTTTGAAATTGAAAGAAATTATTTACAATAAATAAACATAACTCAATACATATTTCAGACTACTCCTAACATACTCCCGAGTAAATTGTAATCTTGTACTTTTGTATTTAGTAATATTAAGGAAGTTAAAAATTGTCTGTATTAAATATTTCTTATCTTTTATCTAACTAAACATTTACTAAATGAAGTATTATAGAAAGCTCTTTTCGTTTGCATCATTAGATGTTTCAAATAAACAGTTTTATAGATTCTAATTTATTAGCAACAGTCTATCTACATTTTTCCTAACTTTTCTACAATTCATCTTTCGAATCATTCATCAAATTTGCACCCAAACAGATGATTTTCTCAAGATAAGTGACTCCAAATTTTATTTTCATTCTTTTACCATTTCTGACGTCAGAAATTGACATGAACGTATCATACAAGTTTGTTTTTTCTCGCCTATTACCATAATACAATCTTCAAAGTGATAAGGAAATTTCTTCACATACGCAACAATACTTAACAACATTACAATGTCTATTTTTTTATTTTATAAACCAATTTTACGTACGCCAAATACATTTTTTAATATTCGATTAGGTTTACCAAGGGATATGTTAGATCTACGTCTATGCTTTTTCCCTCAATTAACGTAATATTGGTAACTAAACAAACGAAATATTTACTTCATTATTTCGCTTGTGATAAAGAGAATTCAAAAAAGTTATTCATGAAATAAACAGAATTCAATACAAATCTTAGACTACTTCTACTAAACTGCCGAATTAAATTGCAATCTCGTACTTCTATAATGATAATAAGCATAATTAAAAATACAAAGTATAAAAGTTACAGTAAAGTACATTTTACTTCCAATTTGACCTTTAACTATGCACATTCACAATTCATATGCATATAGAGTAAGTGGAGTATAAAACAGATTCAATTTAAAGGGGGATTATGTTATTTTCAATATTAATGAAGATCCCATCTTGAGAACGTTTAATAAACTTAAAAATCATTTAAAAGGCCTGCATGATGTAGCCGATTATTTAATTCGGTATTCACTTTTGTGAATTTGTTTTTTTAATAACATAGGGATTATTTGCTTTTAGAAAAATATCCGAAACTATGACGTGTTAATTTAATGAAATTTAAAAATGCAACCGAAGCTCCATCTACATTTCTTCATTTGAATCTTATATTTTTACCTAAATATGTGATTTTGATCGGATAATTAACTCCAAATTTGTTCTGTATTTTACCGTATCTGACGTCAAAGATTGACATGAACGTATCATAAGCGTTTGTTCTGTGCGAACCATAACAATTATATAACTCTTAAACGGACAATAACATTCTTTTACGTACGCAAGAATACCTAAGCAATAGTATAATGTCTATTTTTATTTTATAAACTAATTTCAGGTATGTTGAATCTGTTTTTTAATATTTAATTTTGTTTTCCATGTGAGATGCTAGATCTACGCCTATGCTTTTATCCCGCAATTGACGTAATTTTAATAACACACCATAGAATTTGTTGGACTTCATGATTTTACATGTGATAAATACTACAAGGCGTGCTAACATTTCCTGATATTATTTCTCATTATTTTTTGTTAGGTTTGAAATTGAAAAATTATTTTTGAAAAAACAGTAAATGAGGTCTCGGAGAGTTTAATTTCTTAGACATTTGTTACATTCTTTAGACTACTAGACAACATTTCAGAAATGGCAGAATCAGAACAACAGAATTAATGTGAAACTAACATTTCCATCAGTGCGAATGTTACAGATTTACTTGCTTTGAAAGTGGTAATTAATTACTTTTTCTTGCCCTTTTCTATAGATTATCCAACAAAAGAGAAGGAATTGCAGTTAATTTGGATGCTACTGAAGCATATATTGCTTTGGATGTCTTCACTTTGCAACATTATGGAGTTAATTTTAAACTTTCGAGGAGGAGAACTGGAAATTAGTTTGGAAATGACTGAAACAGCAGTGGGTTTTCTCTTGGATTTGGCTTGCCCATTACACATGGAGACTTTAAAATACTATTTCCTGCGGTTAATTAAGGTGAGAATGCAGAATCATATTAGTTGCTCTCTATGTCTTACTGAATCTTGAATTGTATAAATTGACGTATTATCGTGCATCTATGATTATCCATATTTATGTCATGATTTATGGTCATGGTGTAAAATGACGTTTGTCGCCATTTTATTATGATTTAACAATTTTACTTGCTTTTTGGTGCTTATTTTTAGGTGTGTTTAATTCTTTCCTTACTTAATAGTGTAATTAATATATTTTTTGTCCATGTCTGCAGATCATCGAACAAATGAGTTCAGTTTGGCTATACTGAAACGGCCAATGTCTACATGGGTGTTGTCTTTTCTGGACTTGGTCTTGATTTGCTATTTTCGTCTTCACTTCGCAACCTATGCAGTTAATTTTCAACCGATGAGTGGGAGCAACTGGAGACTTATTTGAACAACAGACTTTCTGCTATGGTATTAAGGATTTGGTTTACTTTTTACATCTACAAACTTTGAGAGGTTGCAGTCTACAGTTAATTAAGGTGAGAAACTTGATAATATTTAATTTTAATTTCTCTTTATTAATCTGTTACCACCGTATCTGTTTCAGATCTACATTGGAGAAGACAAAGATGACCCCGCAGTTGAAATAGTTCTTTATGTTGCATGCTCTATCTAGTAGAATTTCTTAAGTTCATTTTATTCAAGTTAATTTTTTATTTTGCATGTTTTTTTGTAGTTTTTTTGAGTTAATTTTTATTTTGCATGCTTATTTTTGTTCATTTTATTTGTAGTAATTGTTGATTGTAGATGTTTTTTTTTTGTATGTAGTAGTAGTGTAGTAGCAATAAAACTAAAACGTTTAGCAGTTGTAGTATAATCTAATATGCTTACCTCTTTGCTTAGCTTACTGCATATTCTTACTATAAATTGCTTTGCATTTACCCTACGAGTTCTACATGATTCAACGTTTCGTTATCGTGTGTGTTTCTTCTCACCCTTGTGGAATTAGGGAGGGCCTCCCCGAACGACTTCCCTTGGGCTTAGCTATTTAGTTGATCTTAAAAGTGTCTTATACACTTTTCGCGAGTCTACTCTAGCGTTACTTCCTTTCAGACAGGGTACAGTGGGTTATCTGGAATAGGAGCAATAGGCGACTGCCCAGCTTGCCTTGGCGAAATCTGTCCGATCTTC